AGCATGTTGCCACTCGCCTAAGGGATATGCACAGGAAACTGGACTTTTCTCTGTGGAAGAAGAGCTTGCATAAAGTGCCAAATATGGCCGACCGCGCAAATCGAGGCAGTCTATGGGTATGAAAAATTTTTTTCCTCAATCAACGAAAAGCTGCCAAGAACTGTGGTAGTATCCTTCTATGCACTATCTCCCGAAGAGAGCATCTGGATGACTTCACTCGAGGAAGGATCATAGGGAAACTCGAAGAAGGTTGAACCGTGAAGAGTGTAGCCCAGGAGTTTGGTATCGCTCACAGCGTTGTTTCACGTGCCTGGGGAACGTTCCGAACCTTTGGTACTGCTCCCCGAAGACGATGAGGTAGCCGACCAAGGACAACTACACCACGGGACGACCGCTACATTGTGCAGCAGGCAAGAAGAGATCCTCGTCAGTCGGCTTCGGCCATTGCAACGACGTTTAACAGGACTTTAGGGCAAGCCATCTTACGCACCACATCGGCAAGACGCCTGCATGGTGGTGGTCTCTTCGCCCGACGACCATTGCATTGTGTTCCTTTGACCCCAGCGTATCGGCGAGACCGTTTACGGTGGTGCCAGGAACATGGAGAATGGAACGATGAGGAATGGAGCCGTGTGCTCTTCTCGGACGAGCGCAGGTTCAGTCTGAGCAGTGATTCTGGACGCACCCTCATATGGCGAGAGGTGGGAACACGCAACTCCCCCGGAAACATTGTCGAGGTGTTATGGTATCGGGAGGCATCATGTTAAATGGCCGTACTGACCTCCAGATTTTGAGCATGGAACCCTCACCAGTCAGCGTCACTGTGACGAGGTTCTCCTACATCATGTCCGTCTTTTCAGAGCTGCAATCGGCCCTGACTTCATTTTCATGGATGACAATGCGCTACCGCATCAAACAGCACAGGTGGAGGAGTTTCTAGAACGAGAGGATATCCGGCGAATGGAGTGGCCCGCCCGTTTCCCCGACCTAAATCCCATCGAGCACGTATGGTATGCACTGGGTAGACGCATTGCAGCACGACCAAATGCACCAATGACGATCCAGCAATTGTCAAATGCACTAATTGAGGAGTGGAATGCCCTGCCCCAGGAACTCATTACCAACCTCGTGGAGAGTATGGGATTGCGGTGCAGAGCATGTATTGCTGTCCGTGGTAATCACACACCCTATTAGGATCCGTGTACTTTTTTTGTAGTACCAGGATAAATCGTGAAGACTTATGTGTATCTACATGGTTGAATAAAAATGTCATAACAATTCGTCTTATTCCGAGTTTCTGTCAGTTGCTTTCTGTACAATATTCTTAAGGTTCTCTCTTGATAATGAATTTCATCGAGCTATGTTGTCTGGCAGAGGCACAGTGGTTGCTTTCGTCGCTAAGTTTTGCACACCAGTGTATATTATAATACAAGTTGCGTGATGCAACCCGTATCGCCGTTGTCGCGTAATCGCTTACGCTCCATTAGCACGCCATTGCACGGGTCCTTTCAGTTTATTTCCCAAATTTGGGATTCAAATAGCGAAATATCTGTGCAATCATGGATCCATTTGTTCATATTAAAGGTCAGCTCACCAAAGCCGTCAACGTCTTGAAAGGCAAGATCTCTTCGGCTGAACAGGTAATGACCGACGACTAGGTCAACGATAGAAGTACGGACAAGAGCTCACGATTACTGAAAAGAAAAAGAAGGAGGTACTTGAGTCGACCATAGCCGTAATTCATTCGATGGATGACCTGAAAGACAAATGGCGTCGTGCTGAGGAACACGTGAGCAAAGCCAACGAAGATAAAGCACAATTCGCCTTAGGCTGCGTTCATACCGTGCAACGTAGTCGTCAACGTCGACCTACCCGATGATTTCGACGACTAGTTCGCGAAGATTATATGCGTATCAATCCGACGTGACGGACGAAGCCGACGTAAGCGACGTAACCGACGTTTTCGACGTCAGCCGATACGTATCTAATTTTCTGTCGTCGGTTGCGTCGGTTACGTCGCTTACGTCGGTTTCGCCCGTTAGCCGAATCGATACGTATATAATCTTTGCGAACAAGTCGTCGAAAACGTCGGTTACGTTGCTTGTCGGTCACGTCGTCGTTGACGATGAACGCACGGTATGAACGCAGCCTTACTCCAGCAATTCAGCGATCACTGGGAAAACATCGAAGCAGATAATGCGATGGTAAAGGGAAAAACGCTAGTGAGGTCAGTAGAAAAACTACTACAAGACCTAGAACGTGTTCCCCCACGTCGCCCAGGGATCGACATTAATACAGGTAACACAGCTCCTATGACAGAACAATATATTCACATACCCAAACTAGAGCTTCCCGATTTCTATGAAGAACCTAGCACATTCCCTGAGTTTGGGAACTTTATCTAGCAGCGATTCATAATAGTACAAGCGTGCCAACCGCGATAAAGTTCCTGCATCTCAAAAGCATACAAAAAGAAAGAGCTAGAGATATCATCGCTTCCATAGAGTTGTCCGCCGACAACTGTCAGGAAGCCATAAATAATACTTGCAATCACCCGAATTTCCTCCGCAACAAATTCTTTGAACAACTTGAGGCCATTACTCCAGCAAATGAGACGCCTTTTGCCTAGCGTACAACATTGTGCTAGATAAAGTCCCTTTGGGTTCAACTCAGAGGCAGAGCCACGATCATTCGTCATCACAGATAGTAGATTCGGAGTTAGCGTATAGATGACAGGGTGCTGTGTAACTCGGTAGTGAAGGAAAAAAAGCAGAAAAAAACACGCCAACTGCCCCAGATAGACCCTATTCCGATACCAGTTTGTACGTGCCCAATTGACTCCATTTCCAATACTACACCCCCAACAGCACAGCTGATACCCCGACCGGAACTCTACGACCGTGCAAGTAACAATTTTAATGCTCTTCTTCTCGCAGCATCGTTATTCACTGAAAGACGAGCTTCGAAGGAGGAGTCTGGAGGCGAAGTCACTGAACATATATTAGGTCGTTCAGTATGAAATGTCCGTTTTTGAGAGTCAACTTCAGTTTATTCATATCTCATACAACGCCAAATTACAAATCAAATCAAAAATACTCATCCAAGTTATCAACACATCTTTGCCATTTTAAAGCGTAACTTATTAATTCCATCTCCATAGAAATCTGGGAGCGACGAGAGGCAATAAAATCATGAAAGGCACTTTCTACATCATCATAAGAATTGAATAATCTTTCCCTGCAAGAAGTGATCTAAAGCTTTGGCAAAGAGGAATGGTAGATCTGTAGGTGCTAGGTCGGGAGAGTAAGGAGGATGAACGAGAGTTTTCCAAGTCCAAATCCTGTAATTTAACAAGGTCGAGTTTGCCACATGTGGCCGAGCGTCTGTCCTGCAGTAGGAGCGGTCCGGTCTCTGGTTAATCATTCTCGGCTGCCATAACAGCAAGCTTCTCCATCATTTTCCCCAGCTGTGACAGTACGCCTCCGCCGTGATCGCCTGACCATCGTTCGTAAAGCTGTTAGTGAATCACTCCTGCGGAGGACCACCAAACCTGATACCCATAGTCTTCCTCTGGTGAGGTGAGGGTCCGGCTTCGCGCGTAGGTTTTGGCGGTTCCGACTTGTCCAACACTGGTAAGACCGCTTCCTGTTATCGAAATGGATCCACTTTCTCGTCACATGTGACGAGGACGCGTGTAAGAAAGGCTCGCTTTTTTGCCTAGAAAGTAAGGAAAGGCAAGCCTCAGGCGGACCCTCTTTCTGACGATCGCGCTCAAGGTCGTGCGTACCCAACGGTCCAGCCTCCTAAGCTCTTGCCAATTTGCTTCAAATGAGACGAGATCGTCACCTACATACTCCCAACTTTGGCCGCTAATTCTCGAGTACTTTTGAGTGGATCAGCTTCACATACGGCTTAAGCTCATCGTTGTTCAAGCTTGCACCTCGGGCCGTCCTCTCGACTCATTTTGAAAGATCGAAGTCGCCGGATTTCAAACTTTGCAAACCATTCGACGTATCTGTTCCGTGGTCGTTAGGGGCATTCCTCTCCAAAGACGGACGGTGATATTCCGAACTGCCTGTGCTGCGCGTGCTTCCACGGGCGGAACTCGTACTCCAAGACAACACGCAATTTGACTTTGTCCATGTCGTTAGCAAAAACCTTTCTAAAAAAGTCAGATTCCACCGCCAGCCGGAGGTCCACCGAAGGTAAGAAAAGAGGGAGCTAGCACTTTTACCAAAAACTCAGTACCAGGGACCTGCCGGAGCGTTTTTGCCTTAGATTACGGACTCTCGAACTATGCACTTCTGAAAAACGGACATTTCATACTGAACGACCTGATATATACGCATACAGCGCCCCCTTACAAATTTTTTGCCGCGAAATCGGTACAAGAATGTTTTGTCGCGGAGCACACCTACCCTCCAGGGTCATATTTTCAACTTCAATACGGCTTATCGGGGACCTTTGCTTGAAAAATCTCAAAGAAACAACCTGGCCGGCACAGGTACAATGCGAAACGTCAGAGCCAAGTTCCGCACTCTACTAGACAAAGAGCAGAGAGAATCAAAGGGAAGAGGTGACCACTGGACGACTGAAGAATTACTTGCTGCATTCGCAATCAAGTAATCGATCGCCTTAGAATTAATGGAAGAAGACCGATCTCATCAGTGTCCGAAATACAATCGCTACACATCAACAGTACATACTCCACGCACTAGGTCATACTCCCCCAAAAAGCAATCATCTCCAGACCTGCTGGTAGACATACTACAATTCAACACAAAAACAGGATCTCCCATGAGGAGAGATCATAATTCAAGAGAAGTTTCGGTGTACTGCTTTGGTGTCCGTGAAGGGCACAAAGCACCACAATGCAGGCAGAAGTTGCAACAACCCACGCAAGAAGAACCATAAACAACAGAACAGAACTCCAACTCTGTTGGAAGTGCTGAGACAAGGCCATTCGTAGCTTGAGCTGGGCCACCTCGCCTACCTACAAAATGTGGAGGCGGACACCACGCCGCCCTCTGCCTCAAAGAAAATCAATCCTAGAATTTGAGTCAATTTAATAGTAAATACGCAGACGTTACAGCAGCAAAGATTCCGATACGGGCCGATATTCCACGTTTTATTGGAGGGAGAGATCGAGACCAAACTCTCGCTCACCGAGTACCAAACCAACAGAATCTCATGCAGTGACCCATAACCGAGCTCGAAGGTCACCTTATCCGGAAGTAAAATTCAGGGATTCCAATACTACACATATGTATTCCACGCCACCATACTTAGATCATTATACAAATCTAGAAACAGATTACTCCAGAGACAATACTAAGACGAGACCTTATGAATCTCAACAGGACACGTTTTTGATGAACCCCACTCAGGTGCTGGAATCAAAAAAGACCGAGTCCTTATAAAAATCGCGAAGCCCGCCTAATAGCAGAACGACGAGATTCAGAAGGCCCGTCTCATGGTAATCCAAGCGCTTACAAACAACTACAACACAAAAGAACCGCTGACGATTACTCGATAGCGGCTCTCAGCACAGCTACATAAAAGAAAAGGTAGCTAATACACTGGGATTGAGATTCAAACACTCATCCTTGGAGGACATTCATACACAGAAAAATCATATAGAGTCAAAGTCGTGCTCCAAAGTACGACAAACGGTGTACCGTTAAGTCTTAAACTATGGACGCGAAAATTTATAACCACTATTTCTTCCAATCCACGATCGAAAAACGACCTATCCAGGAGGCATAACGAAATCGACGTCTTAATAGGAATGGCTCATTACTGGGATGTAGTCGAGATCAACTCAAACCGCCTACTCCCCTCCGGTCTAGTCCACTCAAACACTAAACTCGACCCAGTCCTATCGAGGCTTTAACCGTCACTAGAATATAATGTCCTCTATAATACAGTGCCGGCATCGACATCACCAAGAATCCGATAGTGAAACTGACAGAATAGTCTGCAATCTATTGGGCCTCGAAAGGTTCGCCACAAAAGACAACAAAGATGCAACGGACGTCAACATAACACAACATTTTTATAATACAGTGAAAATTACCGGTGGTCTAATACATGTCCAGTTCTCTTACATACCATCTTCATTAGCTAACAACAATCCCTTAGCCATTCGCAGGCTAGAGAATCAGTATTACAAGCTTCACCACAGACAGGAGATATGGACACAATACTGTGACACCTTTGAGCAACAGCTCAAACTAGGTATCATAGATGAAGTCAAAAAAGAACGGCCCCAGGAGAACTAATTTATTACATTCCACATCAGGCAGTCTGAAGGAAGACAGTGCAACTATAAAAGTGCGCACTGTTTTTGAGGCATCTAGCCATATGAAAGGCGTACCAAGTCTCAACGACTGCGTACAGTAAGGACCAAGCTTTCTACCAGACCTATGTGGAACACTATCTAGAGCCCGTTTCACTCCAATACCAATTATAGCGGATGTCGAGAGGGCATTTCATCAAATCCTACTCCAAGAAGATCAAAGAGATGCCACGAGATTTCTATCGTTGGAAGACCCGTCAAAAGGTCCTACCAGAGAAAACATCCGCACACTGCGCTTCACCCGTATTCCATTTAGCGTAAATGCTTCACCCTAACGACCAGGCATGTCAATATATGCACCAGAAAATAACAGCCTACTCCACGAAGAAATACTTGCTAATATATACGTCGACAATGTCTTCATTAGCGCCAGGACGGTCGACGAAGCTTCTCAAAGCAAAAAGATTGCAAAGAGATCCTCAAAAATATGGGCATGAATCTTCGTGAATTCATGTCAAATAACAACTAATCATGGATGCTATTCCAGAAAAAGATCGCGCGAGAAAGACCCATAATACCTCAAAATTGTTAGGTCTCAAAAGGAATACGGAGGAAGACAGTCTGAAAGTACACGTAAAAATTACAACAAATAAGGTCATGACAAAGCAGGCAGCTTCGAAGGCCGTTGCGTCTACCTCCGATCCACTGGGACTACTGAGTCCTCTTTTCGTCGAAGCAAAAATCTTCATTTAGATGACTGACTGACTTGTGATTAAACAAGTCTGGATGGGACGATCCTTTAGAAGATAACATATTAACACACTGGAAAGACGGTAAATAATATTAGCGGCTTTGTAAGCAATGTACCAAGATCTATAGGCCTTTAAAAGGACACTAATTACATCTAGTAGCCTTTTCCGACGCCTCGCAAAGGACCTACGCGGCCGTAGTGTATCTATTAGGTTGTTCGAAAAGTCCTGCGACACTTTGACCAATTTTTCGGACCAAATTTTCAGTCACTAAAAGACATCTCCAATCTATAAGGTAATCACCGCTAAGGACTAGGACTAGTGCCCTTCTTTTGCACAGCTACTCATTTCCATTCTTATAGAACTACGGCTAATATGTGAAGAAGAAGAGGTGGACCTCATTTTTAAGTAGACGTCGATTTTCGGAATTTTTGCATTCTTAAGGATGAGGTAAGGATCAAAAATGGTAGTAGTTAGAAACTGCTAACTTTGATGAATAAGTTGGGTATGGTCGCATTCTCAGATCAAGATCCACGATCTTTTGGTGTGGCCTGATCCTAACATGCGGTCTTCGCATTGCCGAGCGGTAGAGAAAAATTGAGTATTTTCGAAGAATTCGAGCGTGACGTCATCCATGTTGTGAGGTTGGTTAGAGTGGACTGTAGTCCTTACTGTTATGCTAGTATCCAGAGATACCGCTTTGAAGTCCCACCAATAACGTACTGAAATCTTTATCCCATGCACATCTGCTTTTGGCTGTGCAATCTACTTTTCTGTTTGAGAGATCCTGCGAAGAACATGTGCAAGATGTACGCAAGGACCCCACCACTTTCTACCATTTACAAGATCTCACAAATGTTCCTCCAGTGTGTACAAGGAAAAAAACTAAGTCACGGTCATTCGGTATGACTTGTCAGAGGGGTTCAACTCATGAGGCATCCTTCATAAAAAATTTTTCCGGTAACCGAGACTGCAGAGAAGCATGGTGGTTGTCAGTTAGGTGGAGCCTAGAGAGGTTGCCAACTTACTGGTGGTTACGGCTGCGCCTCAAGAATCTTGAGTGAAGGACCGTCATTCTGTGCTGGTGGCCGACCTATATATTGCCTACTTCCGAGTTGAATAAGTCCAGCCTGGAAGCGCTGATGCAAAAGGAACTCTCTGCTATAGCAAGCGATATCCTTCCTCAAGACAACGTAAGTGTTAGCTTCCTCGACTATGGCGGAGTTGCCCTACAGGAACTCATAATATGGGATAGGTCGAGAAGTACCTCGATCTCTGAGGTATTTTTAAGCTTTGAAAAATTTCATGGAGCCATGATATACCCATTTTTAGAAACCCCAGGACACACTCTCCACTAATCAGAGATAAAAACATTCAAAATGATTTTCGGTCTTTTTCTAGAATAGTTCAAACAAAGTGTCGCAGGACTTCTCGAACAACCTAATAGTACAAACAACAGGTGGAAAACCACAGAGCCATTTCTTCTTCTCAAAGACTAGATTAGCGGGTCCTGGGAAGATAACAATACCCAGGATAGAGCTAATGGCCGTGGTCCTAGCCGCGGAAATAACCAGTTTTCTAATACAGCAAATCAAAGTTACTCCACAATTAGTTCAGCTACTATACGATTCCCGGATAGCCCGGTACTGGATTCACTCGGACAAGCAGGTGAAAACCTTCGTTAACAATAGAGCCGAAGCCATTAAAGAAGTACTTGAGCAACTCACTAAAGAGGATGTCTCAAGCCATTTCTTTTATGTTAATACAGATAATAATCCAGCCGATTGCGCCACGCGAGGTATCTCCGCCTCAGAGATGAAAAATCACATAAGGTGTCACGGTCCCGCTTTCATCTTACTCATCCTAGCAATTGGCCTAACGGAGACGTTGACTTCACCGCAAAATCACCGCTCCCTATGGAAGCAGTAGCAGATTGAGTAAACGGCTGCTAGCCACGCATAAATTACACCTTCTTTATTCCATTCAATCGTACTAGTTCGTATTTCAGACTGATGAAAATCACAGTCAAGTCAAAGTGCGCACTAAAATTCCTAGCACGTCTCAGAGTTCGAGTAATAAGAAAGCAAAAAGCTGAGGCCCTCACTCCAACTGCATCAGTGTCCACGACAAATGCAGTCAAAGCGAACGACTCAGAAGCGGCCAGACTCCTCTTACTGCGCGAACATTATCGCGAGGGAGCCTTTAAACTTCAGAGTCGCGCTTTAAGATCGCTCCAGCTGGTAAACGAAAACGGAGCCTACAGAGCAAAGCTACGTATAACACATGCTGCGGTGGATTCCTCGGCAAAAACACAAATAGTGATGCTACCAAAACATCCGTCAACACAGATGATAATCTTGGATTATCATCAAAAACTATTCCATGCGGGTTCTGCACATTTGATAGCAGGACTACGAAATCAATATTTCATCCCCAAGATCCGTCGTATAGTTGAAAGCATAACATCAAAATGCGTAGTTTGCCGTAGGCATCAAGGTCGTACGTTATAAATACTCTAATCCACCAGACTTACAGCCGAGTTGTGCGAAGTCGTCCATTTCAAAACACTGGATTGGACTACTTTCGACCAGTTGCGGTTACCTCGGAGGTCGTCATATTCAAAAGGTATGGGTATGCCTGTTCACCTGTACAGTAACGCGCGCAATAGTCAAAGACAACTCGACATCTCAATTTCTCCTAGCCTCCAGAAGATCTGTAGCTCGTAGAGGCGCACCCAGCCACGTGTTGAGCAATAACGCTCCAACATAAGCTGGAAAGAGAGGTACTAGCCAACGAACTAACGAAGATATGATATCCCGCTCATCCATAGCTTTAGCAGCACAAAATCTGACTTAGGAGTTCATCACTCCATTCCCCACCCTGTAAAGGTGGATTCTACGAAAGGCTAGTCGGATCAGTCAAGTCAGCAATGAGGAAAGCACTCCATAGACTGACTATCGACATATGGTCTTTCTAAACCCTTATCAGAAATAGAAGCGACACTCGATACGCGACCTATCAACACCATCTTAATTACTCCAACGACCAAATTGGTGTACTACGACTATCCATCTCCTAAATCCCCAATTTCTCAGCGGACCTCGATACACCTAATACATTGATCACTAATAACGATCACCTATCTATTACAGACTCGCACAAACACCTCATCACATGCTACATTATCCTGTGGGACTCACTCGAACGGTTTTGGGACAGTTGGCACAAAGAATATCTTCAGACCATGGCAGAGGAGTTCTAATAATACAATCTTTACAAACCCCTGGAGAAAGGAGTTTTGAGAATACACCTCCGAAATAGGGTGCAAAAAGCCTCCCACGAGTAGGAGATGTTGCATTGGTCAAACAAGTTAATTCATCCAGAACCGACTGGCCTCTCGCAATTACAGTGGAGATAAAACCGCTCAGCAGACAATCTACCAAGATCGGTGACGTTACGAACAGGAAGCGAACGCATCCTAAAGTGCTCACTAAATCAGCTGATACCACTCGAAGTACCGAGCTGACGACCCGGAGTCCGTCGCGCCATACAAAACAAAAGAACCCTACCAACCACGGTCACAACCGCGCGCGCAAGGCAATATCAAGGAACGAAATCACCCCTTACTACAAATAACAAGTAGAATTAACTCAAGCATAGTCATGAGCTTACGTGTCAAACGTTATCAAACAATACACTTTATTTCATCCATAATACATCTTCATACTTATAACAATCCAATCCTTTACGCGCTCAACGCAAATTCGACCATATCGATCGCTAACATGCCAATAAAGGCGAAGCGGGCGCCAATTGCGAGATCGTAGATTTCAGGGCACATCGTTG